ATATTTTAATAACCATCTTCTGATCTTTATTTTTTAGTAAATTATTATATTCTTTAAAATATAAAATAAAATAAAAAATTATATTATTTTTAAATAATTATTTATAATTTTTAATATTTATTTGTATGTAATTATTATAGGCTCTGGATCCATCTAAGTATATACAAACGTTATAAAACTGAAAATAGTTGGGAAGAGCTCGTGCCCTAATTTCGTTGCTTTCCTTAATTAGAACCCGTAAAATCAAGAGCACACCGAAGCAGTGCAAGTTTGTGTGGCGGGAATTTAAAATAAAGTTTTCTTCAGAATTCAGAATTCAGAATTCAGAATTCACAATAAAACGCGCGTTTCTCTTAAGTAGCCGAAGGACTAAGGAGGAAGCAGAATGGGATCGAAAGTTGTTCCACAATGGGCATCGAAGCCTTGCGCCATGGGAATCGACGAAGCCGGAAGAGGCCCCGTTTTAGGTTATCCCTCAACGCTCATTATTTTTCCGCTCCTCTTTTTCCTCTAATCATGTTTTCCAATTTGTTTCAGGGCCTATGGTCTATGGTTGCTTATACTGTGCTCAGTCCTACCTTAAGACCCTAGCTACATTGAGTTTTGCAGGTATCATACCACCTACTTATTGTTGGAAAAGATTGCATTAGTTAATTAAGACATGTTTGGGTAAATTTCTCTATAAAGACTTATAGGATGAGAAAATAAGAAGTGAAAATGAGAATAAAGTTTTTTATAAACTAAAGTTTATCTATACAAATGCTTACCTGAAACAATGCCTAGTGTCAGCCATTGAAACTTGATGTTGGTGCAGATTCCAAGACACTAAAAGAAGAGAAGAGGGAAGAATTGTTTGAAACCTTAAAAACCAATGATTCTATTGGATGGGATGTTGATGTCATTGACCCACGAGAACTCTCCGCTAAAATGCTTAAGAAGTAAATCAATAAACCTTTCTTCTTTTTTGTGTCATTGTGTTTTCTATTACCTGAGTGTTTTTCTTATAATTTTGACAGGAATAAGATAAACTTGAACGAGATTTCACACAACTCGGCCATGGGCCTCATTGATAGGGTACTGAAAATGGGAGTGCTTCTAACTGAGGTAAAATCCTTGCCCAACTTATGTTTTAATGTCAACTGTGTGCTGATTCATCTATATTATTCGAGGTTCATCAAAGCAGGTGCCCATGCCACCTTTTTACTCATGACTTTCAAATCAATGGGTGCTGTGTGCTTAATTTCTTCCATTGAAAATAGTGGAACTAAGTACCAAAAGAGAGTCTCTTAAATCTTGTTTGTTGTTATTGTTGCTGGTATATGGTGTGTGATATTAAGCAGTAGCACATGATAATTCAATTACTGAGGTTTGAAGCACATAATTTGTTCCTATCAGGTTTATATAGATACAGTTGGAGATGCAGGGAAATATGAAGTGAAGCTGTCTAATGCTTATCCCTCTATCAAATTTGTGGTTGCAAAGAAGGCTGATAGTCTTTACCCGGTTGTCAGTGGAGCAAGCATAGTTGCTAAGGTACCTGTCTTTCCCTTATAATTACCAGTGATTTTAAGCCCCACAGTCTACTTGCAACCTTAATCCAATCTTTTAGGTCACAAGGGACCGTGCTTTGAGAGAATGGGTGCTTGATGAGACTGCTGAAAACATGCAGAGGAATTTTGGCTCTGGTTATCCCGGAGGTGAGAATGCTGCTATCCTATCTCATTCAGTGTCTATGTCTCGAATAACATTGTACTTACAATAAATCTGGTTATGTCTGTGTAGATCCACAAACAAAGTCTTGGCTAGAGAATCACAAACATCATATCTTTGGATTTCCCACATTGGTCCGATTTAGTTGGGGAACCTGCAACACTTATTTTAAAGATATTGTTGAAGTGTTATGGTAAGGTTGCTTTCTTGAGCATTGGGCAAATCTGTAACTGTAGGGCACACAATTCCAAGTTTGTTCTGTTTAATACATGATAATGCATTCCTTACATCAATTCTGTGTCATATTCTCTGTTGAAATTACAGGGTTTTAGTTATAAAGGGAGGAATATATGATAAAGGAGGCTAAATATTCTGAAATTGGGATTAAAATGGTATGATGTGATGTATTACAGCGTGATGATATGTTCATAAAACTTGAACATGGTTAAATTAATCATTCGGTCCCTATTGGTGACACGTATTTAGGAAACAGTTCCTGTATTTAAGAAAACCTAGTTTTTGTCCCTATAAGCTCTTATTAGTATAGATTGGTCTCTGTTCTTACCATGTTTCTTAAGTTTTAGTCCCTAAAAAACTTCAGTTTTATTCTTTATATGCTATTATAGGGACTAAAACCTTTTTTTTTTCTTCATACAAGGATTGATTATTAAATAAGTGCATGTAGGGACCAAATAATTAGTTTAACCCTTTGAGCACCAAATGGGAAATAGATAAGGAAATATGGTAACCAATTTTAAAAGATGACAAGGCAATGAGGAAACTAATTTTAAAGGATATTCTAAAATAGGATAAGACATTTCATTTATTCTAACACATTCATAGAAGATATTTTTGTGCTTTAAGTGGTTCGAGTTTTACTTGCTACAAAAATTAGCAATCTCCTAAAAGTTTAAGGTGTTACATGTGGTTTTATACTTTTAAAAAAACTCCTCACACAAGCTTTGAGCTTGAAGCAAGGATAATTGACGTGTCCTTTATGCCTTGTGCTTTAATTTAATTATGAAGTGGGAGGGAAGACTCTTTAACTCCTGACCCTGGGTAAACGATGTTGAAAGCCAACCCCCCTGGCTTCCCTCTTTGACATTGTTTTGGAAAAGAAGGTTTCTTGGCACACATTATATCTACAATTTGGATGAAATTTGAATCACTTGCAAGGCCACCCTCCCTGGATATGGACCAAATCGCCTTTCCCTCCTCTGTTTTTATATTCCAAGGTTTATGTAAGAGTTGTTTGTGCTTATCTCTCTTCAGTAATTGTTTACAGGGAATCTGACAATTTGGATGAAGATGGTGGTAGCAGTAATAGTAATGGCAAGCGACAGTTGAAATTAAGCAATGTTGGTTTCACCACATCCAAGAAGAGAAGTGAAGAAATAGAATCAAGTGGTAAAGGACGTTGTAGGTTTTTTCAGGCTCGGAAACTAGAGCACCTCACTCATTTCTAGAAGTGATGCTCAAGTACTGTACCCTCTCTCTCTTTGCATTATCTATGTGAAATTATATATTATTCGAATTTCATCTTTCGGATAACATTTCCTGTATATACACTTTCTTGGATGATACTCAGTCTATTAAGACGTGTCCTAGGTATTGTTTCAATTTGATTAGTATACTTGAAATTGAAGCCATCTTATTAAACATTTATTTCTATGTATATGGTTTAAAATGTCTTCTAATCAGCTCACGCAGACAAATCCTTCGACATCTGAATGGGAGTAGTTGAATTACCAAGTGTTTTCGGCTATAAAGCCTGGATACTTCATAAATGGAAAAGTATTGGTATTGTACCTGTAACAGACATCTATATGGCTCAAATATGTTAGGATATGTATCCAAGGAATATTTGATAATTTTTTCAAAATATTGGATACGATTCTGATACGACTCCAATATAATTCATAATGGTTGGATATGGTTTTATAACATATAAATACCACTTGGAAACTTGTTTTTTACCCAAAAGTTTGTTTTATTAATATTTTAAATTTTTATTTTTAGTTTTAAAATTTTTAGACGGAAAAAACCTTTTAAAAGTAAAAATGCATACTCTACAAAGACATTTCTCTTTTTTTTTCCCCCAATATTTTATATTTATATAATAATAATAATTATTTTTTTAACATATCGCATCCTTAATTTTTTTTTAAAAAAATTGTATTTCCATATACATGTTGTATTGTATTTATATCGTATTTATATCGTACTAAGTATCTGTGCTTCATAATTTTCCAGCTTTGAATCTGAACGTGGCGGGGGGGTGGGGGATACCAGTTCTCCCCAACAGGCCTGCATGCTTCATCCCTAAGTTTAAAATCTTGAGTTTTCAAGGAAGTGAAAACAGTGATTCTGATTGAATAAATTTTTTTTGTTTGGTCTTTGGACGTCTCACTGAAATCACCATAAACAACGAGCGCTGAGTACCCAGTCTGAAACGGTTAAGCTCAAGTTGCCAACAATGTTTATGATTATGGAAAATGATAATATATTTTGAATAAGCTATGTTGCAGAACATTGATTTTGGTTTTATGCGTGCATCCTGTTATTAAAATCAGCTCATTTATTCTTTTGCTTTGTTTATTGTCACTCCAACCAAAAGTAGTACCTGGCAAAAAGCAAATTGATAGTGTTACATTTGAAAAGAGATTATTTTAGTCATGAATCATTTTTTCAAGAGGAGGGACATTCAAGGGAGGCTTTGTATCATTGGTTGTACCATTTATGCATTTCAGACTTGCAATTGCAGATAGACATGTTAGACGAGTCAACTTAGCCGCTTCTGCCCACGTTGCATCTGTAAACTTCTCTTTGTAGTACAGATTCTCTGAAGTTTATGGACTTTACACGTGTTTAATAGGATAGAGTATTATTTATCATATTCCCTGCAATGCGAATCAAGTTTTATTCATCAGCATCTGGTACATTCTGCATATTGTGTCAAATTCAAACTTAACAAAATACATAATTAGGTCACCAGAAAACCCTTCTTCGAAAGAACCAGTGACAGTTGTTACATAATATACAATGAACTGTTTTTGTGCTTTCTATATCAACAAAAATAACAGCACGAGAGAATAGATCTGGGTGAACAGAAGCACATTCGACAATTTGATTTTGTTAAGGTTGCAGTTTGCAGCACTGTGACGGGTCTGATGTTGGCGATTTTTTGCAGCACCTGCTGCATAAACAGGTATCACTGCTGCACCTCCTCCTCGTGTGTCAGGTGATCCTGAATTTCCATTTCCGTGTGAACTGCTACCGTGGGCACTCCCATGACCTCCGTCTGTCTTAATTCCATATATTTCCTTTTCTTCGAACTTCCTCTTCTGCACATATTCTATTAAAAAAACAGTCTTACCACATGCTTAAGAAAGAGATTAACAAGGTTAATTCCCCTAATTGCTTATAAGCTCTGCCCAAATGAAAGTTGCATAAGAAAATGATGTGGTTGGTTATTACAAAGACTTGTACACGCATCTCGCTGGTAAATATCAGTTCTGTAATAATAACTATATTCCAATCTTATGCTAAAGTATCGAGTGCAAAATGACCCCTTCACATAAAACCCTCACACCAGCTGCTGTAAGCAAATAAAGGTAATGAATCTATACACTTTAGCATTGCAATATTTCACTTGTTAAAGACTTGTAGACGACACAAAAGCACACGTTATCGGAGTTCATAATTTGGTATTGGATACCCCAATAGACAACTAACACTGAAAGATAACGACTAAAGGTAGGAATCTGAAGTTCATATGCTTTGTATTGCAAGAGAATTTCAAGAAAAATAGTTATTGGCTTAAGCATCTGAATTTTCCAATAGTGGGAAACGATAAACCGTGGAAAGGTAACAATATACTCGAATGTTTCGTTGAGTTATTTTTTTTTCCAAAGTAATAATAACTTATTTCCCAATAGCTTTGTTAGAAAACTGACAAAAAAAATAAACAATTATTTCTCTAAAATAAAATAAACTAGTGCATCATGGAATGATCGACGATTAAGGAAAAGAAGACGGTATGGTTAAGGAAAAAAGGCCTGTAATGGAATCTGAATGATACTATATTAAACCATAAAAAAACACTATGGAAAGTGTTCAGGACCGGAAAAAATGGTTACTCGTCAGTTCGACAATTAGAAAACTTGACTTTGATAAAATAATAATTCTATTGAACAATAAACTTATGCATGTGTAGCTTATATTATAATAATTATTATTATTCTGCTGATTTCCCGCAATCTTGATATCTTACAACTGTCTCTTTTTTTTTATTTATTTTTTTTTATCGTATGTTTACTGTGAGATGAACATGATAAGTAATAGCTATAGCATACACTGAACAGGTTCCCACGACCACGAAAGCAGTAAATGGCCATAACTGTAGGGAATAATTAGATGACTTCATATCTATTTCTATAGGGAAGAAAAAGTATTGGAGAAAAAGAGATTGGCAAGATAAAAATTGAGTTAGAACTTTTAAGTTATTTAAAAGAGAGAGAACTTAGGATAGTACCTGAAGGCAAGTTGTTGTGAAGAGGATATGCAGGTGCAAGATTAATGAGATAAATGAAGATAAGAAGAGAAAATCCCAATACTCTGAAACCCATTATGTTTAGCTATAGTAATGTATAGAGATGAGATAAGATGATTCTTCTTTTATACGAAAATCATCTTCTCACTTTCTGGCTCATGCTCATGCTCATGGAATGGATTGTGCGGGCGGAGCTGGTTTCAGGTGAGAATGAATTTAAGAATAATATTTTACAAAGGAAAGTTTGGCCTTATCTTCAGCGGAAGGTGGCCTTACTGTAAAGCCTTTAATTTATATTTATAATGTAAGAAACTATAGTGAGTGGTCCAAATATTTAATATTAAATGTCGAATCTACTGGCAATTAGTTCGACATCTCACGACTGATTAGAGTTTTTTTATGGGTGGGTAAAGGGACTAAAAGCCCTGATTAGAAAGTTTAACCTCCATGCTTTTTAGTACCTCGGAAATTCATTACAGTAAAGCATATTACTTTTGTAGCTAAAATATATTTTTACTATCTTATTTTAATTTTTAGTTTCATTTGGTCCTTAAATTTAAAACAATCTCTTTAATATCTTAAAGTGTCTTTCTTAATTAAATTGGTAATTTTATCAGCTTTTTCATTAGCGATGTTAATTCTACATGATGTTAATTCCAAGTTGAACAATTAAGATAATTAATTACATTCAAGTTTAATTTAATTTAGAAAAATAATTATTTTTTATTAACTTTTAAGAAAACTTATGATAATAATAATAAATAAATAAACATTTTCTTTTAAAAAATATTCTTAAACACGTGCTGATGTATTGTATAGATCATTTTCAAAGATGAAATATTTTCATCTTTTAAAGGGCTAAAATAAAGATATTGTAGACTTAAAGATTAAAGTAACTATAACTAACCATTTGAATGACTAGAATAAGAGTTCGTTCTATTATTAATTTTACTCATAGCAAACCAGGTTGCGTACCTTACTTTTAATTTACAATTAAAGAAGCATCATTGCCCTTCCATTTATCATTAGAGTGGGATCGATGAGGTGGCACGTGGCAGTCATATATAAGATAGTAAAATACCCATTGGCTATGTTTGGAATGATTGACCAAAATGTGATTATGTTAAGTTCAATTCATTTGGTGAAAAAAGATAAACCATGTAACACACTTTACAGGTTGCATTATTGGGGAAAAAAAGTCATTTAAAGATTATGAAGTTGAATAAAATAGTGTCAAAATGAAATTCACATAAAGAATATAAATAATAAATTATTTAAGTCTAATGAATTTCACCGTTAAATTAGTCCTATGATTAATGACAGATTAACTGTGGCATTTGCTATATCTTATTTAGTCCCAAAATTGTTTTAACGTGAAATGTATGAGCTGCTTTTAGCTGTAATTGTAGATCTATAGACATAAGATGTATGAATCACTCAATGTCGCATTCATGTTGGACATACTTCAACAAAGAACAGCTATCGAACAAATTTCAATAAATAAACATGTGAGAAGACTGAATACAAATCAAGCTCGGATATCAGATTGTGATTTTGATAGTTGTACATGACTAATTGTTACAAGTTATTTTCAATTGCTTTGATGTTTGAATATCCTAAATAGATACCAAAAGACTAGAGATAATATAAATTAATAATATTAAGAGATCGTGATAAATAATTTTCTTTTCCAGCTAATCACAAGGAAAGAACAACCAATATTCAAACAACACATAAGGGAATAAAAAGTGGCAAGAATCATTCAATTTTTCCCGTGAATTTTATTTGTACATTTATTTCACTTATTTCTAGCCTAATTTTTTAATGGTTGCAATTAAGAAATACTGTGAAAATATGTATAAAGTAAAACAATGAATTTAACACATTACACACTTTAGATCAATGGTAAATACAGTATCATTTCATTAACTTACATAATTTGCTATGGTGGGTTGCATGGCTATATTCGATGATATCAACATTAATTTTAAAAATAATCAAATTTATGTTTAAGTAACTAATATTATTACAATAATCCTGAAATATTGTTAACTTAATAATCAAAACAGATATATTTTATATGTTGCTCTCAAATTACAATTAAAATTTTACTTCAATAATTCACACATTAAATAATAGTATAGATCATAAACTCCATTTTAAATCGAAAAAACAAATTAAAAGTAACTGTATATAATAATTACATGTAAGGACAGATCATTATTAATATGAGTAATACTAAAAGTTAGATCTTGATTGCAAACCTTGTAAATACAAAAAAGAAAAAGTTATTATGAAAATAAATATACTCCTAACTTTATTTGATTAACATGACTTTCTATCACGAACACTCATAATTATTTGAAATAAATTTAAAAACGCCCATCTAAACACATACTAAATAACGTGCGTACATTTGCCACAGTAAACACGGAAGAAATATGAGAATAATTAAGAACGTAGCAAAGTTTCTTACGATGCACATACAATTGGAAGGGAAAATACGCAAGGTATTTACGTGAAGAACAAAATATTCTAAATGAAACTTATACCTCTTTTCATTTAAGGGAGATGCAGACATAAGCTAAACTAGTCATAACATAAGAAATAAGATAAATGGGATTTATAAAACATGTAACAGTTCCTACAGAGCACATTTGCTCTGCTCCTTTGGAAACCCCATATACTCAAAAACATAGTTCCTACATTTACATGGAAACAGAAGCTTTAGCATGAAAAGCAGCAACTTCAAACCCCATCCGTTTTCTGACCAAGCATTCGTTGATGGCCCTAGAGAAACAGACTTTTGAATTCACCATTTGCTAGTTGGCACAACTGATTGTAAGAGTCGGTATCTACAGAGAGGACATGATCAAAACCAACATACATAGTTAGGAACAGAACGATAGAAATAAGAAATACCAAACAGTTCCTGATTCTAGTTTTTATTGTGTCAATGGTAGAGGAAGAGAGCAATCGCCCAATAAATCTAATTTGGGGGCTTAACTGAGAACAAAAAATAGGTTTGAAGAAACATTTACTTAATATGATTATTTTCCTATTTTGAGAAAATGTGAAATTTTGAAGGGTTTAATGCTCATGTGCTTCCATTAAAATAATTTTACACCATCAACCAATCAAAAATCATTATTCATGTTAAGTTCATTGATTTTTACAATAATTACCTTGAAAATAAAATCGTTCCCTGCAGTAAATCAATCATAAACTATTATTAATAACTTTTAAGGTAATTATTGTAAAAACCAATGAAATTTACATAAATAATGATTTGTGATTGGATGCATAGCCTATTTTCTCAATTTTGAATCTATCAATAGACAATAAGCAAGAAAAGTAATAGATAATGTTGTAATGCATCGTACCAAACGTGTTGCCAAAGTCAGTCCATACTTCGGCACCAATAGAGTTGCTACTTTCAGCAATGCCAATGACTTCAATATAGTTCATAAGAGGGACTTGAGGCAACCCTTTTATGGTTAATTGACAGTCATCAGTGGATTTGGCCGTGGCAGCCCCACCATCACACCGATTCACCTGAACCACCGCCCGCACTTTCTTCCCAATAAAATTCGGAATCAACTCACCATTTACAAATACAGCAGGGTTTGACGTGTCCATTGCCTGAAACAAGATGAAAAGAATCAACCTTTGCTAGCATACCTTGAAGAAATTAACTTCCTGCATACTGGGTAATTAACGATTGCATCATCTAAAAATTCTGGTTTCAACTTTTCAAATCAGCACATATTAAAGTAAGCGTTGAACATGTTAACAGGGGAAAAGAAAAAAGAACAAAAATGTGACATTATCGTCTAAGAGGAATTTCCGCAAACACTTTGAGTGCACAAAAAAATGAATATGATTGTTATCAGTAATAGATCAACTAACCTAAAACATTTGGCAAATAAAAATAAATAAAAAAAACTAAAAAAGAATGAATCAATGGGAGAGGGAGAGAAAAACCTTAGCGTTTGAATGATACGAAAGAAACCCTCTTTGCGTTTGCGTAGTTAGGAAGGGAGTGACTGCGCTTTGAAACTAAGAGAAAGCGCAAAAAAGAGAAAAAGAGCGGGAATCCCTCAATCATTTGGCGGGAAACCACTACACTTGAGTTTACCATTTTCTCCCTCAATTTAATTTCTTTTTATTTTTTGAAAAAGGCTATTATATAAACTAGTATATAAAATGTGCATACTAAATATTTATAATAAATTATATACATAAATAAATATTATATTTAAATATATGAATTATATTTAAAATTTGTATAAATACACATTTTTAAGCATATAAATAATATTTTTTAAGTAATATATAATTTATATTTTATTATAGCATAATAATTTTTTAATTATTAATAATTTATTTTAATAATTTAATTCATAAATAATTATGATAAATAAAAATTAAATTAGATAAAAAAAATTAAAAAAATCTCGTAAAAAATTGCTTCTAAAAACGTTCACATAATATAGAATATCATGTTTAATATATTAGGATTAATTGTTAATATTTCTTCTTACTAAATAAATCGTTAATTTTTTTTACAAATTATGAGTGTATTTAGTTAAAATATGTCTTTAATTTTGGAAACAAGCGAAATGAAAAAGTGTAGAATAAAATTGAGAGATCTCTCTAATAAACGACACCGGTGTAACTTTTACTAAGTGTTACACCACTCAATAACTTTATATTAAATGTGAATTTTGAAAATCCAACCGTTAGATTGAAAGTTGATATCTCTTAGATCATATATGTCAAATTTTGTTAAAATTGAACAACAACTTGAAGGTAATCAAAGTGTTCATATTTTAATATATTTTGAAATCTATATATTACGTCAATTTTGTTTTATGAGAATGAAGTATCAAATCATCTTACATTAATATAAAATTTGATATATATGATCTAAGAGATATCAACTTTCAATCTAACGGTTAGATTTTGAAAATTCAAAATTAATATAAATTTATTGAGTGGTGTAACACTTAGTAAAAGTTACACCGGTGTCGTTTGAACCCTCCTCATATATATATATATATATGTGTAATTAATTATATACAATTCAATGATTAAGTCTTGATTCTTCTTTTATTCGTTTTACTTTTGTTGATTTTTCTTCGAAAGTAAACTTTATTACTCCGTTGCCGCTATGATTTCACTGATTGCAATTTGCATTCTCTGTGTCCAAAGAATTACTTTAAGGAAGATTTGTCGAAAAAATCAGATCAATCACAAGTAATTACGACACTTTTTCTTTGATATTCATTGGCCATATTTTATTCTCTTTTGATTTAAAAAAAAGCAGAAAAATAAGGTATCATTTTATGATATGTCTAAATCTAAATCACGCTATTTCTTATTTTTATCAAAAGTCAGATATGCCTTTCAGTTAAATGTGTTCATGAACTTGATTAGGTTGAGTTTAACCTCGCAATCTCAACTCGATATTAATTTTTAACATAATTTAACTAACAATTGTACCTACTTGACATATATACAGTAAATAAATTTCTACGATGTCAAGTAAAGTCATAAAATTTCAAAGATTTAAACTAGAAATTGCTTAACAGCATATAATTCGAAAACAAATATATTAATATAAGAATACTATCATGTTCAGTTGTTCACTTTGCAATTAGGGGTTACATATCTATTCTGAGTGCCTGTTTAGAGACTAACATTGAAATTTATTTCCCTTAAATCCGTGGCTGTATAGTTTTGAGCTTAAGCCTTCTTATCACCTAATTTTTATTTTATTTTTTTCATGTTAAAACTTATTTGAATGTAAGTTAGAAATATTTTTAAATTTTTTTATTATAAATAAAGATTTTTTAGCGAAAAAATTCCCAAAATGTTCTTATGCATGAACATAATCAGACTCTTTTTCATAAAATATCAATTTACTTTCTTAGAAATTTCATCACATAATTATAGTTAGTATAACCTCACTTAATGCCTAATTTTCTCGTGAACCTATATTTTAAGTGATTTACATTTTAAAAACAATGTGTTTTTTTTTTTTATAACTTTTCTTTCTTCACTTTTTTAACCTTCTAATGATAAAACATCTTGTTAAACTTGTCTAAGTTGTGGGCTACTCATACTTGGGTTAGCACATACTATAGAGAGAGAGAAAGGAAGAGCCCATAGAAATCAATCATATTCTCATGAGCCTATCTTTTTAATTTAAGTTTAGTTAGCTTGATCCCGTTGGACCAAAATGAACCTTAACGCATACACTTTAAGGGAATGCTATGCTTTTTATGACGCATCAAGATCATATTGTACCCTGTATTGGAGGCTAAGTAACACGACAACAGATTAGTATATATGCTAAGGCGATAAGTCCTGGAACTAATATGATTCCATTTCCATAACACAAAACAACAAAGGCATTAAAAAGGCCCAATATGCACTTATTACATGTCACTTAGAAATCTTAAGGTATCATCATACTTTGCATTCAAACTTGGTTTCCATAATAATAGTATTCGTAAGAAATTTATGTCCTATGCTTTTTTTTTTTTTCTCAACTAGTTTATTGCCCTTTATTTTCTTAAGAAAAGTTGTGCCAAACATTTTAAAAAAAACTTACAAAATTAAGGGCCTTAATTTTTTTATAAATAATAGCAGAAAAAGTAACTTTTTTCTTAAAAGAAAAACTAACTTAAAAAAAAATATTTACCTAACCCATCATGAACAAATGATAACGATGAAACAATAAAATGAGTAGCGATGATAATTAAATCTGTACCTATGGATAATATCTAAATCTGTCCCGATTTTGACCAAAAATATACCCAAATCTGTCTCGATTTTAACTAAAAATATATGATTTGATCGAATATGGATAATATCTGATTTATTAAATCAAATTTGATTTATTAAATCAAATATGAGAATAGGGATGTGTATACACATATCTACTCCATACCTAACCTGTTTTAAATTTCTAAAAACTTAATTTATTTTAAAACAAATTTACTTGAAATTTATATAATTCTTACTCTATTTTAAATTCATGTCAAATGAAACTTAATTAATGTAATTTTATAATTGTTACTTTATATTAAAAATTTTATTTTTTAATATTTTTCTAAAAAAATGTTTAACTAATTTTTGGACGGATACGAGTCAAGTGTAAATATACCCTATATTTGATGAGAGAGAAGATATAGGCCCAAATCCCATACTCATGGGGATGGGATCGGGGACGGAGATAGGTATAAGAGTTTGGAAACTTTTCGAATATAATCCAAACACAGTTTTTAAGCATTAAAAAATATGGGCGCAGCCTTATTCTTGATTAATACCGATCTAATGGCTACATATCAAAGGGTTCAAGCTTCACATAAATTTAGAATGATTCAAGTTGTTGTACAAACACCAACAGAGTTTCACAACAATCTAGCTACCATCACCACCATGACACATGTTCAAGCTTAGAAAAACTAACAAAAGGCATACATCATGACTTAGCAGAGATCTTCCTCCTTATGGGTGTGAATCACACAATCTGACTTTGGGTATGAGACACATGTGAGAAGGTAACCCTTCTCTATTTGCTGATCATCAAGAAAGGATTGATCAGACTGATCCACAGAGCCTGAAAGCACTTGGCCAGCACAAGTAGAGCATGCACCAGCTCTGCATGAGTAAGGCAGCTCCACTCCAGCATTCTCAGCTGCATCCAGAATGTAAGAGTCATCAGGGGCTTCAAATTCATTCTCCACACCATCTGGTCCAATCAGTTTCACTTTGTATACTGCCATTGCTGACACTCTAAAGGATGATGATTTCAATCCAAATGCTTTTGACACATTCTTCACAGAGCTCAAAGATGATGGAGTCTTGATAAGAGCACAAGTTCTCCTAGCAGGTGCAGTTCCAGACAAGGAAGCTTGTGGAAGTCTCATAGTGGACATGTTCAAAGCTGACATTTTTACACCTGAATCCAGATATAGGTAAATTGTTTTGTATGATTAACCACATAGAAAACCACTATAAAGTCATTAATATAGAACATAAATGAACAGGAACACAACCATGTGAAACAATGTAACTCAATTATCCAGACAAATTTGTTTTTTTGGCCTGCACAACAATCATCAACCACTCAAACATATATTCAGCCTGTCTGGTTACACACGTGTCACATGTTTTTTGTGTTTACAGAGAAGCAATCAGTTATAGCTTCCATGTTCTTTTAGCAAATTGACGTGATTTACTACATTTGTAACATATGTCCAAACACAGGCATTTTACACTAGACAATGACAAAAAATTAAAGTATAAATTACACAATATCCCTCTATACTTTGGCCCCTTTTTCAATTAACTATTCCAGCTTTCTTTGCAGCACCTACCCTCCTCAACTTTAGTACAAGTTAAAAACTTTAATTTCCTGGTTTACTATAAAGGTAGCTTAACTATTTCAACTTCAGTTTTTTTGTTTTTTTAATAGAGTTTGGTGATAAAAAATGACTTTAGGGGATAGGTTGAGGAAGATGTTAAACCACTCAAGGAAATGTGTCAAATAAACAATAGTTGTTTTAGAAGTTAAATAGAAAATTTGTGTTTTCAATTTAAACCAAAGTAAAAGTAATCTGTACAAATACAGGGAGAAAAATGGAACACAGTTCATCCAAAAGCTATCAGAATAGTTACAACCATGGTTGGACTTCCTTGTAAAATAGTGAAAAAAACTCAAAGAATTTGCCACCAAAATGACTCTACGTACTCAAGTACAAACCTTGATTTCTCAAGATGACATGTAAAATATAACTCAGTTTATTGTTATATTAACTAAATAACCAGATAATAAGAGGAAAAAAAAAATTGAACTAACAATGAGCATCACATTGACAACATGTGGATATAACAAATGACAATATATTGGAAATTTTCTCCGGTACAAGACGGCAATATTGGCTATTATGCAGTAAAAATGGCAAGGTCATAGATTTTTCAAATGTTCAAGTAATTCTTTTTGTTTTTGGTCAACTATAGGATACAGGGCAACTCAGATTGTCAGAAATTGCTTCTAAATAACGGTCACGGATCGAGGATTTTACCAGACATGGTGCAATAACAGAGACGTAGTTTGCCTAAGGTATGAAAATATAATCTAGATGCATCTCAAAAATTATTGTTAGGGCATAAAGTGCACGTGAGATGAACGCAAGTTGAAGAAAATAAGAAATTGCAAGACGAGTACAATACAGTAACATAGACTGTATATAATCACCACCTCATGGTTAATCAATCTTTCATCATAAATCTTTTAACTGAACAAGTCAAAGAGAATAAAAAGGACATGCAATTCCTCTGATCAACACTGTACCTCAAAACGCTTACACCTATCATCGTATTGATCCCTATCTAAATCCCCTCCCAGCTACAGATATTGAAAATTGATGAACAATTAAAACAATAAATCCACGGAAATGGGAAAGAGGGTGTGGATCAAACCAAAACAATTCAAAACAACAATAAAATTAAAATTGTCATGTATGTATCAGACAGAAGAGGAGACCCCCCAATAAAACAAAACTTTATCACAAAAAAGAGAGAGAGAGAGAGAACATAGAAAAGAAGAGTCTATGTGATATGTATGCATAGGAACTATGAAGAAGAATCGAAATCGAAATAAAAAATGATGAAAGAGATTTGGCAAAAGGAGACTTACGATAAAGTGGGTGAGAAAGAGAGAAGTCTGAGGGAGTGAGAATGAAAATGAAGGTTATATAAGGAGAGGGTAGGTGGGTTGTGTCGTGAGTCGTGACTCGTGGTTGATATAAGAAAGTGACCTTTTGAGCGTTCGGTGAGACAACAAGTGAGGTCGGCGCAGGAACTAGTGTCCAATTTTGCCTACGTTTTCATGTGTCCTTTGCAATATGCATAAGTCCAATGAAACCTAGTTAATTTTTTGGTCACAATCCCATAAATAACTTTGAAGTGGATCCATCTACTTGTATCACGTGCCATTTGCACTTTTCCAGGGACAGCCTGCCTGTTCAACTTCAATAAGACCCCAATACACTATTCTTCAGAAAATTAAAATTTATGCTTTTTTTTCATTTTAATTTTGGGTGATACTCAATCAGTTCCTTTTTATTTTTAGAAAAATTTTATTTTTATGTATTTGTTATTTTCAAATTTCAAGACAATATAATTATTAGGTTATCAATTATATCTTTACATCTCACCTAACTTTTAATTAATTTATACATTACAATTAATATAAATTTATTATAAAGCAAAAATAAATGAGAATATAATAGGATATATTAAAGTCATTCTATGAAAATAGAAAAATTTATCTTTTTTTTAATAAATAAAAAAGAATCTTAAATAATTATTATAACTTACCTCCTATTAACTCCGGATCCAACGTTAGGTAAAGAACCTCTAACATACATCACACTCAATGTGATAATGAAAATTATACACTTTGACAAATTCACGAATTGGCCCAAACCATCTAAAACTCATCAGAATCCAAGCATGCAATATAACAAAACACATCTCATCATAAACAACTTATTTCCCACCAAGATAACAAGATGCAATTTTTTTTAAGGCTAGGATCACTAAATTCACCTCAACATGCTTCAAAACACCAAAGGTGTCAAAATATTAGGAACAAGTTGTACTTTTATTCATTAGGCAACAAAATGATTCGTTTCGTTCTATTTGTTTTTTTTTTTTTACCGTAACTTTTTTAGTAAAACTAATGAATCATTTTTCTTAACTCGTGTCTCTTTTTTTTTTTTTTAATACATTAAGCATACACAGTAGCCGCTGGCAGTTCAACAATTGACGTAAAGCAGGGGTCGAACTGACCAGCGGCCTACACTAGGAATCCCTGTTCATGTTATACAATGAAATGATGTCTATAAATAGATGTTCCAGCTTCTCATAATATGTAAACCCACTATTCCACGCATCATCTTCAACATGATCAATGCAGAAGATGCTGACTACGGAACAATTAGGAACCAAATATTAGATTTTGGGTTCACTGGATAAAGTAAACGCACGAGGAGAATCTATATTTAAGATTTTTCTTCATTTGCCACTCCCTGTTTGGGAAACAATCATACTATGGAAGACTGAAAGAATCGTATAAACCGGAGGAACCCACACTCGTGTCTCTACTTCTTCGGTGCAGACAATCGGTGTCTGGACCATTCTTCAAGGGCCTTGCGATGGAGAGCATTCATCCGGATGTAAGGCCGTTTTTGCTTGATCAGCTTCTCAGCATTCTTCCAATCCTCTGTGATGCCTAGTGCTACTAACAGTGCACACATAACAGCAACACTTCTTCCATGACCTTTACACACAGAAAAATAGTTAAATTGTTTTGACTTTTGACAATTGCCATATCATCTTGATTCTTATGAAAGCATAATAATCTGGCATGAAATTAAACAATATCACATTATACATTGGTCTGAAACAATTTCATTATGAAAGTCAAGAGGTTGCATAAATCCTTGCTATCTGTAAGTCAAGTGCTGTCTCATTGACCGGTGGGAGTTCCAAACTATTAGAATACAACCTCTTGTCAGTCAAAATGCTTACATTTTATGTCAGTGCACGGGACTATGCAAGGAAGGGTATGGTACTTTCACTTTTTGATATGCTTCCCTCATCTCTGGAGTTATGCTCTCCACGTATTCATTACCTCATTGATAAAATTGCAGCTGTAAAAGTAGTCCCTCAATGCCCAATTTTTTTCATTGCTTATCTATGCTTCTAAGTAAACAATATCTGCGGGTTTGCAGCTAAGGTAGTGATCATGATAATGAAGAAGTACCACAAAGTGGAAAACACCCAGTTAAAAAAAGGATGGGTAACACTTAAAACTCAACACATTAAAGAATAGGCTATACTCCCAATAATAAACCACAACCACTGATCTTTAATAACTCTCACACCTTACAAAATTCATACTTGGCAGTGGCTTGATGCTAACGAGAGTATCTGTTTTGCCTTCAAATGACATATTTCATTCCATTCCTAGTCTTCCCTTTCAAAACTATGCACAATACCTCTGGATCAATTCTGTTTAGTTTCTCAATTTAATCTATCGTAATTGGCAATTATAAAGAAGCAACAGTAGAGGGCATAGAAAATAACGAAAAAAGAAAACTAACCATAAGCACAGTGAACGAAAATGGGCCTATTGAGGTCTCTCTGGCGACAGGCCCACTTAACAGCGGATTCAATATCAGCGGGCTGAGGCGACCTGGTGTCCCACGTGGGAATGCAGCGGTAGGGCAAGCCCGAAGAGACACGCGGGAACTCGCACGTGCAATCGACGATGGCAGGGTCGCCAGGTGGCAGCATGCGAGGCGACGACGGCCAGGCACCAACATAGATACCATCGTGAACTTCCGAGTAAGGAGCCTCCCTACTTCGGAGTCTCCGGAGCAGAGAGAAGATGCGAACGAAGTAGATGTAAGGGCTGAAGATTAGGAGCGAGAGAAAGGGGAAGGTTCCGTCGCTGGTTTTCCCGAGGAGTAAGGGAAGGTTAATTGAAGGGTGAGAAGCGATCGAGACGAGGAAGGAGATGAGGGAAGCGTAGAGGAAGGGAAGGGACAAGAGCGTGAAACCCAGCCTTCTTATGTACGCGAAGCATGCCAATAGACTTGTTGCTTTTAGGGCTATCAGCACTGATATGCCTACGCCCATTTTCAGATTTCCTTCTTCTCTGACTTTCGATCAAAATCCAAACCTACAACTGTGGAGGATGCGGGGGAATGGGGTTTTTATCTCTCTCCATGAAAATATATCTGTAATATTATTTTTTATGCAATTTCTTTTTTCTCTTATATTATTTATTAATATCAATTTAATCTTATTTTAATTAATTAAATTAATTTATTTTCATCATGTTTGACCTTCTGTTTCTTTTGTTTAAATATTTAGGGCATTTCTAATAGAAATAACTCATTTAAATTGTTTCATACATTAAAAAAATGAAAAAAGTGATTCTTAGTGTGTCATGTCAGCATTAAGTAACTCAAATATAAATTTATTTCAATAATAAAAAATTTTAAGAAATTCAACTTTTAAATTTTTTTTCTAATCATTTATGAATCAAATTTAAATTTTTATTAAAAAGGATAATTGCACTACGATGAAAAATAAATAAATTATAAGAAAATACACAATAAGTAGATATTAAAAAAAATAAAACAATAATAAATACATAAACATTATACGAAATTAATTTTCATCATTATTATTTCCGAAACGTTCTCAAATATGTTCAATAAAATCTGGTAAGGAACTGTTGCTTCAGGAAGCAATTATCTCTCTTCTTCAATAAACTCATGTTGCCACGTCAGAGTTTTTCAATGACAAGAGACCGGACTTGAGTTGCTTCATGGGACAAGCAACTAGGGATGGCAAAACGGGCCAGCCGGCCCGTTTTGGCCCGACCTGCCATTAGCCCGCCAAAAACGGGCCGGGCCGGGCCGGGCCGTCAATGTAAAACGCTGGAGATGCTGGCCCGCCCCGCCTAAGGACGGGCTGGAGACCGGACTTGAGTTGCTTCATGGGACAAGCAACTCCCATTAGAACTGCTCTTAACAGATTTGACACGTGTCATGACATATTGCATGATGACATGACACATGTCATGCTACGTTGCATGATGACATGACACATGTCATGTTACTATGTTATATGTCATGCCACGTGTCGTGATATCATGCTACATGATATGATAGCATGACACGTGACACATGACACATGTCACATCCGTTAAATAGTTAAACGAAAAAAATGAAAGGTCAAATATTGAGATATATTTTAAAGATGTGGGATTAAATTGATTCAATTAATTAAAGTGAGACTAAATTGATACTAATAAATAATATAAGGGACAAAAAGTATATTTTTTCCTATTTTTTATTTTAAAAAAAAGTATTTGTTAAATTCCAAGTAACTAGAACATCATTTTACTAGAAAATCGGGGAAGCGGGGGAATATCATTTTACTACATTATCACACAAACACTCTTAAAGTAATTTTAAAAAGATAAAAATAAAACTAGAAACTAATTATAATTTATAAAAAAATTAAAACTTAAAAATAAAAAATAACTTCAAGTAACTAGAACGATGTTTGCACCTGTATTGAACACGATACGAAACCGGTTAATACTTAAATAGTCTAGACTCGACTCATCACCTTCTTTCAGTTGGAACTCGCACTTGAGACTCCGACGAGTACCGCTTTTCTCTTCGAAACTCGCATTGAAGATCCCGCCAAAATTCCATCGACCTCAAGGCAAGTGCAATGGCAGCGAATCAAGAGACGGTGACGATGAATGAAGAGGACGACGAGTTGGATTCCAAGGAGAGTGTGCTCCATAAGTACTTCCTCCAAGAATGGAACACCGTCAAGTCACTCCTCGACGACATCGTTTCCAAAGCCCGCGTCTCCGATCCTTCCTCCGTCCACAGAATCAGATCCATTGTACTCTCCTCATTCAACCACAACAATCATGTTTATTTATTTATTGAAAATTAATTATCCCTATTCATTTGCAGTTGGACAAGTATCAGGAGCAAGGTCAACTTCTAGAACCCTACCTCGAAACGATAGTTTCCCCTCTGATGAACATTATTCGCTCACGAACAATTGAACTCGGAGTAGCTTCCGATGAAATTCTTGAAATAATCAAACCGATATGCATCATTGTCTACACGTTAGTAACTGTTTGTGGATACAAATCCGTCATCAAGTTCTTTCCGCATCAAGTTTCCGATCTCGAACTCGCCGTGTCTCTGTCGGAGAAGTGTCACCACACAAACTCAGTCACATCGTCGAGGCAGGAAAGCACGGGAGAGATGGAAGCTAAATGTGTGACGCTGTTGTGGCTTTATATACTCGTGTTGGTTCCTTTTGACATTTCCACTGTTGACACCAGCATTGCCAGCAATGAGAATCTGACTGAGTTTGAACTCAGTCCTCTTGTGTTGAGAATTTTAGGGTTCTGTAAGGATTACCTCTCAACTGCTGGGCCAATGCGAACTATGGCTGGACTAGTCCTCTCCAGGCTACTTACTCGTCCAGATATGCCGAAAGCCTTTACGAGGTATATTTGATTGTGTTTTGTAGCTTGTTTAGTGTTAATTCACTTTTTTCTCTGGTTGCCTTAGATATTGTGTAAAGATAATTTTCATTTCAATCAAAGTTTACTTCGGTTCATCAATTAATTCCTTGTTTTCTGGATTGTGTTTAGAAATATAAGAAATGTTCTTGTTAGATCTCTTAAAAGTGTCTACATTTTAATTGGCATTAGTTCACAACATTCGGGCTTGTGTGCATGCCAATTAAAATGCTTTTGTTTTACTAATCATCACGCTAAAGACTAAATCACCCTGTTGTTTCTGTATAGACTGACTTTTCTAATTTCTTCAGCTTTGTTGAGTGGACACATACGGTCATGTCCTCTGTTGCTGAAGATTTACTCCATCATTTCCAGTTACTTGGTGTTGTTGAAGCACTGGCTGCTATTTTCAAGGTGTGTTTTTGTCTTTTTTCATTTACACCTTTAAATGAAAATAGTTTTTCTGCATCATTTGTGTAAAAAATTCTACAAAATGTTTGAGGGAGAGAATGATGCATAATAATGGGATATTTTGTGTTATGGATAATTGTGTTACTTTACTTTTAGGGATCCTATACATTTATCCCTATTAAAATCTGTCTTTATTACCCTTAATGATTCTAACTGTTATAATATCAATCTGTAAGTAGGCAGGTAGTCGGAGTCTCTTGCTCGATGCAATTCTTGTTGTTTGGAGTGACACTTCAATGTTGTATAAGTCCTCAGATGCAGCTCGAAGTCCTTTGCTCCGCAAGTATCTGATGAAGTTAACCCAACGAATTGGGCTTACCGCTCTCCCTCATCGATTGCCCTCATGGCGATATATGGTTAGCTTTCCCTGATCCAAGTTTGATGGGATCTTGAATATTAAATGCTTGAAGATTTAGCTGGTGACATATAAAGCAGCAGTAGTTAATTAACTATACTTATATGCATTATTCAGAAATATATGTTGTGCTAACAAAACAACAAATGCTTATTAGGAAAGCCTAGAATGTAGAACTCAAAACAGAACTGAATGTATGAAATTGGAGCCTTCATTGATAATGGAAAACTCAAAGATCCCATAGGCAATTTGGCTATGGTATCACACTGGATAATTTGTCCGCTTGAAAATTTAAACTGCTATGCACAATATCATTTTTACCATTTTACTGACCCAAGTCAACTTAGTGGTGCCAAGTGTTAAAATTAAACTCCTTTGAATTAACTCAATTAAGTTGTTTGGTCCCTTGATCTAAGATAAACCGTATTGGTGCCATAAATTTGTACTCCAGTTTTTGGTTTTCATCAGTGTTGGATTGCAAATATCTAGGTACTATAGTTTCTTTTAGCAGGACATTTTAGGAAGGACACTTGTGTATGAGTTATTGACTTATCATAAGCAATTGGAGAAGCTTCATGTTTGTCACAATGTCGCCATTTTTTTCCTTAATGTCTACACACCTTTCATGCAGGGAAGAGTTTCCAAACTAAATGTTTCTTTGAATACATCCAATAAAATTGATCTGTCCAATTTGGGTGTGAACGAAAACGATTCCAACTCAAATGAATTGTCCGATAAGGAAGAAGATGAGGATATGGAAGTTCCAGAAAATGTTGAAGAGATTATTGAGATGTTGTTATCTGGTTTGAGGGATATGGTATGTCTAAAGGGTGAGATTCTTATAGTGAATTTTTGTGTTTCACCTTTATGCTATGTTGCTCTGTTCTGGTGGTGAAAAATATGAAATTATGTTCAACTGTCCCAATGATGATACATCTGAAATGAAACAGTTGAATTAATGTCTTTGTAAATGGTTTATGTAAAGGAACCTTGTGAGCTACAGAAAGTTGTAATAACTCTGTTGATGTTGTTCATTTGTCATAAATCATGAAATAGTTCTTTTAAAAATATCTAAAACCAAGATTCTGTCTTGTATGAATTTGCCTTAGATGTAAAGTTATGCAATTTGTGATGCAACTGATCCTACAACAGAACTGGATGAATGCTGTTGAATATGAAAAGCTCAAACATTATTTGATATCAGTCAGCTGTCTGTTTGAATTACCAAAATAGAGAAGTCTATTAAATGACTAAAGACATGGCTCATGGATTGTTTGCTGAATCTTAATTCTTTATATTACTGCTGGGCACTGTAGTTATACTGGTTTCCTTAGATCCTGAAACATGTATTTGTCTGATTTGCATTGTATGCTGTAGTATTAGTTGTAGGGTGAATAACATTGCTCTATCAAAATGCTTCTAGGGCTCTTGCTCAATAACATAATCTCTTAGGAGTTAGGATGATTGATTCTTTGATTGATACTAGAGCCCAGTTGACATGGTTTAAACCTAACTGTTCCTGTTATATATTTGTATTTCAGTTTAAATAATTTTTGTTTCAATACCACATACAAATAATTTTGAATTTGATCATGTACTTCATCTATGTCAAAAATCTGATTGCCTTTCACATGAGATAGTACTAGAGTTGTAGCCTGTAGGCTGTAGCAACCACAATTGATATCTTGCTTAACAGCTTAAGCTTTTAGCTCCTTTCATTTAAGGACTTACTGTCTGAAAATTGATGTGGACTATACTTAATTGGTGCACTTGTGATGTCTTTTTTCCTTCATGTTGAAAAATATCAGCTAGTGAAGTGAAAATAAG